ATGTGAGTTTGTGCTTCTGTACTCTGCTGTGTTAATAGCTATTGTTGTGGTCAAGTACCCCAGACAGTGCTGATAGTTGGCTTCTCTAGTGGGCCTAGTTTTTGTTTTTGCTGCTGCATGCCTGCAGGACATACAAGAGAACCAACAATGGGATATGGGTCTAGTCTGTTACAGTCTGAACCAGTTTGAACCCAGTTTGGACCAGAGCTTCAGTTTTTGTTTTTTTGTTCCAGTTTGCAAGCAGGTTTTTGTTCCTGAATTAAAGCCAATCTTCTGCTATAGGGGTGATTTGATTTTTCTAATTTCTGGCATATACTATGTGAGCAGATGTCATCATATATAGTGAGAGTTTTTCCTGTTTTGGTTTAATTTTTCTTTTTAACATGTGTAACATATTAAGTAAATACATTTCAGGATACAATGCAAAATTAATCTTGAAAATTTGTACTACTATGTTATGGATTGCTGACCAATACTTTTTTGCATGAGGGCATTTCTACCATATGTGATAGAAAGAACCTAATGCTTCATTACATTTCCAGCAATAAGAATTCCTATTTTTGAATATTTTGACTAATCTTAACAGGGGTGAGATGTCATCTAAATAACATTAAAATGCATTTTTTCCCTTTTAACTCAGAACATAAAAGTGCATTTTATATTGTCCTCCCAGGCTTTCTCCCAATATTCTAGTTTTATCACATGACCAATATTTTGAGCCCATAAAATTATTCCTCCTTTATCTATCTCTTGATCAGTATTCCATCTGAGTAAGGTCTTGTAGAATTTTTTGATTTTATGAGTGTCATCATTCAGAACTATTCTTTTCTAATTCTGTAACTTCCAATTCAAATCCATACAGCTTGTTATCCATTAAAAATCTTTCTTGTAGTTGTTTAGAGAAACCATTGGCAATCTTTCATCTCCTCTCTTGATTTGGATATCACATTTCCTTTATCCCTTTTAATACTCTCTCTATATATCTATATATAGCAGTGTTCCGATGAAGTCTTCCATCTACCGAAAAAGCTTTTGCATGTAGAAATCCAAGATAGCACTTTAGAATCCCATTTCTTCTTAAGTTTCATTCAAATTTTTAGCAGTGCTTGTCTTATACGATGGTCATTTCTTATACGAGGCCCAGCGGGACCGGAGGTGAGCGGCGCGAGGAGGAGGAGGAGGGCGGGACCATCTGGGCCTATAAAGGCCCCATCGAGCCTCTCCTCCCCCCCCCAGCGGCAGAGGGACTGACATCCAGGCCAGTTTTCGGCCAAAACGCTGCTGGCTTCGCTCCAGCCATTGGATGGCCTTGAGGAATCACCTCCCTCTTATATC